AATTATAAGTTATTCACAGACAATTATCTGATGTCTATTCCTTAGGTTTGCCATGGGACTAATTAAGCTATTTTAGGAGATTCTTTTTTTCATGTGCTGAGCATGTTTTTTCACGATAAAATAAAATAAAATGTCTAACTTATTACGTATAATCCTGAATCCTCTCTGGTGATCCTCCGTTTAATGCACTCGTTTGTCTTTTATTAGTAGTATCTCTCAACTTCTTAACATCCACGCATTTACATATTGACATCTTAATATATAAATTAAAACTTACATCAAGTCATAAACAATACATCTCCTTTAAAACTTTATGTAAAATCAAAAAAATATAATTCTTCATCTAAATAAGAAGACGCGGGTTGAATACTACTGTTTATAATTTCATATTCTCAATGCTTACTTTTTTAGTTAAAAGGAAAAAAAACATTACTTCTTGTTTATAATATAAATCGCTTCTAAAAGTACGGTTTTGTCCAAATATAGTCATTCTCAGGGTTAATACTGTCAATTTTATCTCTGCATCAAATACTTAAATGTATTTTTTTGTATTTTTTTCCTCTTACACATCCTCATTGAATATAGTAAAGTTGGAAAAAAAAATCAATTTAAGACATATTTAATAAGTTAATTACTACTCCTCTGGTCTTTAATATAAAACCTAATTAAGAAATTAATATCGATCATATATATAAGACATATTTCACATGTTTGTCAATTTTTTTTTTCAAATTAACCATATTAATATTTTTCTAACAATGATCAAATCGGAAAAGGAGTGAGAGAATTAAGAAAAATACTTAGGATATTTTAGAAAGAACATATAATAATAACTAATTTTAAAAAAGATGCTTAGAATGTTTTAGAAAAAGCATATAATAACAAATAATTAAACTAATATCCGTAATTTACTTAAATTAGTTAATTAGATTCTATGTTAAGAATTTAAGAGTATTATTTTATTCTGACAAATTAGTTTAAGTGACTTATAATTAAGTCAGCCGACGCAGCAGAATCGTGATTCCGTAGAAAATCACGGAAAGTCAAATGTCCGGAGGCCCTCCCTCGCCAAATTTATCCAATTTCCTTAGGGACATGACACGATCAACGCAAGGCCTCGTGCAGCTTTCCAGGAAAAACAATGGCGTAATAATTATAATTAAACACACGCACACGCCCACATAAGACATAACCTTCTGATTGCTGTAAGCTTAACCCACTGTTGATAACAAACAGCTAATTATTTTCCCCTGATTTAGCACGTCATTGACTCTAAATAATCATAATTATGAAGAGTACTTTAGTGGTTAATTACAGGGGGCGTGGGCCCCATCCCACAGCCTTGACAAGTTAAGCACAGGGACGAACTTACATAAAAGAAAGCGAGACGGGATTGAAGTGTGTTTCGCTGTTTTAGTGTGTAGGACTTGTCTTTGTGTACTGTTTGGGTGGTTCAGCAACATATGAAATGTTACGGCGAATCATAATGAAAACGCAAAATCAACTACAAGTTACGTATATGAGTTTGGGAGTATTTAGTTGGAATGCAAATCTTAATTTTAAAAATGATTTTGTGATGTACGAAGTATATATGTAATAAGATTTTTACCTCAACTTACATAAAATTATTTTTAAAAGATACTTTTGAAGGTATGCGAACACTCCCTTTAACCCTTGCCCCACCAAAAGCGTCTCTTCACCAATTAGTCACCGGCTTGTTTGATCTTCTAGCATTTCTCACCTATATATGTTCAGTCATTTCTTGAAATTTACTTAACAAGAGATTGACTTTTTATATATTATTATCATTATTATTTATTTATAATTCACACCCCAACAATTATTACAAGTTTTGTTATCTGTCCTAGTGATATTAGACTAGATTATCAAAAGCATCTTTTTTCCCCCCTTTAGCAAATACGAGAGGGGGCCGATTTGATAAAAAAGTGAAGTGGCATAAGTCAATCTTATAATCTAGCAGCATGAAAATTGTCCATGTTAGTGCATGCTCTTTTAGGTGAAAAAAAAAAAAGGTCGGTAAAAGCAGGTTTGCTGTAATTTTAACATCTCCCATCCCCTGTCATTATTATATTACCTCCCCTTCTAATTTTTGTAAATATTAAAAAAAATTAGTTAAATTAAATATTTGTAGTAAATATGTGTTGTTTTTTCTAAAATAAAATATTTGTAGTAAATATGTATTATTTTTTCTAAAATACTTTTGTTAATTATGTACGCTAGGATAAAAATCTCTTAACATATGCAATTATTATGGGTACTACTTTAGAAAAAATAAAGAATATGAGAAACAAGATAGATTAAAGTCTTATATTTAGAATCAAATTAAATCTTTAACTAACTTTTATATTTAAGATAGAGGTAGTATTCGTTATTATATGATAAATGTGCGTTTGATCCTATGCTTTGGGTATAAAATGATGGGAATGGAAAAGGAAATAGGGATTGGGAAAACTCTTTTTCATCAATTCATTAGGTTCGGAGTCTTTTTCGTTGGTCTTTTCCCCCACCTTATCTTGATTGGCCAAATTTGGTATGGAAAGTCATGATAGAAAATGGAAAAGAATGGCATCTTTGCCACCCACCAATTAAATTGGGGAAAAAAAAACCAAGTTCATATGCGAAAAAAAAAGGGTATAAAATGTGGAGGTTTTTTTTTTTGATAACCAAAGAAACATTATTATAAAAATTAAAAAGAAAAAGACAAAGAGGGGAGGTTGATTAATATATTCATAATTTCATATAATTTACTTGAAGATGTTACAGCTTTCGGCTTTAAATGAAGCTTTTTACAGTTAGTAACACGCAGGCGACAGAGATAGCCAATAATTGCGATTCCTGTACAATTTGCAGTCACTAATCTGGAAAAAAAGTCAACACTCATTGTTTCTGATCACTGTTCTTTTTCCATGCCCTTTTCTAGCTAAGCACCACATACACTTAATTAGTTAATTAATTAACCTTAATCTTCATCTTACTTCGAAATCAAAAAATACACGTACGTGCTGCCTATTTATTTCGATTCTACTTCTCTTACTTTTCATATTTATTATCTTGTTCAGTGCAATTCATCTTTTAAATTGTGGGCGATGTGCTAGAGAGGGGAGGCCTTGTTAAATGACAAAAAAATATAATTACCAAGAAATTTTATAATAAGTTAGCAGCGTATAATGACAAATTTTAACGTAAAAAGTTACAAGAAATTCATGTTGCTCTCTTGTTCTTGATATTTTATAGTGATTTTGTCACAGACCAAGAGGTTTCAAAACCACAACTACAAGGCCTGAGGCTTCAAATATGATAAGCTGTAGTTTTATAATGAAAATTAATGTATTCACGATATTACGTAAAGACACATTCATCTTGATTTTTTTATTTCACGATACCCTAACAAATTTAATTTTCAATTTAAATTAAAGTACTACCTCCACTTCTTAATATAAGAGCTAATTGAATACTTTGAGTAGATTAAAAAAATTTGTTAAGTTAGTTATTTATAATAAATATATATTATCTTTTTCAAAATACCTTTACTAATTATGTATATTAATTATAATTATCATTCGATGAAACCTTTGATATGTGTAGCTACTAATTACAATATTTTTTTATGATTTTTATGAAGTTTTAAAATTTAATTCATTCATTCAATTTGACTTCTTTATCTTAAATTATTTTAATTTCACTGTATTATGTAAAATCATTTTGTTAACCATGTTTCATTGTTTATTAAAACTCATACCCATTTTGATAACTTTACAACCAAACTTACTTTTACTCAATCATAATACAAACAACATTTTACCAATCTCACTTTTACAAACTAACTTTTTTAAACTTCAATCCAAACACAATTCAACTTATCCAATTTAGCTTTTACCTAACTTCACTTTTTCAAAAGCTACTTTTCTAATAAGCTAATTTTCCAATCGTTAATCTAAACGGACCTATAAATGAGATCTAAGCCCAACACAAAAGGGGAAGTGGCAAGAGATGTTTTTTTTTTTTGGACCTTTATGCTTGAGATCTTTTATGACTCTTAGTGTTGGACCAACTGGCTTAGGACTTTATATATACATACTGGCTTAGGATTATATATATATATATGTCACTGGCTTAGGACTCACACTGCACACATAAATATCATCTACCTTTGACAGAGCAATTAAAGAAAATTTTGTTCCAGATACTACAACTATTGTGATTGTATATTTTAATTTAATGACTTTTCTAAAAAACAAACCTAGGCCTCCCTCCAATTCATGCCCAAACCAATCCAATTAAACCGTCAATTGTATTAGAGGGAGTTGTGTCTAGCAGATCACAACACGACGAATCAAAATTAAAATTTTTGTTAGGAGATGTGTTAATATTTAGTGTCTAAGAGTGTCTCAAATAAAACTGCTTTTAATAAGAGAATACTTATACTTAAGGGAAAAAAAAACGGTTGGTTATTAACTCTGTCGTAGTGCTGGATTAATGCTAAAATTATTTCCTTACTTTTTTTTTTTGTGTAACTGTGCCCTACTGTTTGTCTCTGCGAGACTGCGACTCGTTTTAACCAGCTAACCACTAACCCAGCGCTAATCCTTTGACCCAAAAAAAAAAAAACAGTGCTAGTCCAAGCCCAAAAAGCTCATATGTGTACACACACATGCGTACATATATTTCCGATTTGTTCTTTATTATTTCCCACATTAGTTCTTCTTGCCAATAATCCTTTGAAGACTTGCACAAAAACATAGAGACATTTCAATCTGGCGTCTGCAAAAATATACATAAGATGAAAGCTTACATACATAAGGGCTTAACCTGAACTAAATTATGAAGAGTCTCCGATACAACTGGGCACACGTAAAAGTTAAAACTTATTCATATTCTACAAATGGTAAATACACAGAGAGGTTCATATTCAAAACAAACCCAGAATTGAGCATCCACACATACATATAAATCCATGAATTGTGGTGGCCATAGCCGTATTAAAGCATCCACCCGGGCACGAATCCATGAACGTTCAATGCTGCTCCTCCAACATTTACATCCTCCCCTCCAACCTGATTATATCTGCTTTGATTCCACAAAACACACAAAATCCTCAGAAACCAAAAGCATGGAATAGCAGAGAGAGCTAGCGTGAGTGAAAAAGGAAAAAGAGAAAAGAAATAAAACTATATATACCCGATTTGCAAATTGGGATTGACTCCCAAAGGCTGGAAAAATGCTTCAGATTGATCAGGAAAACGAGGGTAATGGATCGCTTCAGACCCTCCCGCCCCTTCCCAACCCATTCTTAGAGCAACTTGCGAGTTGCTTTTTTCTTCTAACTGCGTTTCCATGTTTCAACCATATCACATATTTAGGGCATAATTGTACAAAGACCCTTTTGTTCAAAGCAAGATGGGTGATTGTGTTTGTGTGTTTATGCACGGTTTTCGTACTCATTATTGAAACAGACAAGTTGTATAGTGATTATAGTCTCAGCTTTTGAATCGAATAAAGATGTGGTCTTTGCTGAGATTAATGTGTATACCTTACTCCTCAGAGCTCTATTAGTTTCCTCCAGCACTTTCTCCTGCATATGCTTTTAGTCAGTTAGTATAATCCACGACCGATCGAAGACTGTGTGTATATATATATATATGATGTTATATTTAATTTTTATTGCTATTATATCATCTGAGAATGAATGTAGGTGGTAATATATATACTTGATGACATCAGAAACAGTTTTTGGAGAAAATGATATACATACCCGGTTCTGAAGATCAGCAAGCTGGTCAAGCATATACTGAGTCTGGGAAACAAGTAAAGAGTATAAGTCAAATTATATATATCACGTTCAAATTAAAATAAATAATCCATGAACGATGACACCTTGGAGGCATTTGAAAGTACAAATATAAAACAACCCAAGCTACTGCTTTATATTCTTGTGCGCTGTCATGTCAAGGATTAAAACCGCCAAGAGCTTAGCTTACAAGTTTCGTATTCTAAATGTGGGATAAGACTAATTTTGAAATTAACATTTTGATCATAGCTAATCAGACGATACATATATATAGTTGAAATAGAGATCAACGTGCTTATATATGTATATATATACCTTTGTGGACCTGATATTCTTCAGTGCTGCCTCGACTTGATTCTCAAGCTGCTCCAGCTCCTTTGTGTTCATTTGGGCCAGATCTTCCCCAAGAAGGTTCCTTTATATGCATATGTATTTAAAACTTAAAACGTTGACACGTTCTGAATCCAACATTTCATATATTTATACACATATAACCAGAGTCTTTAATTAGTTACCTCTGCGAACGTTGTAGGACTTCGACCCTTGCTTTAAGTCTCAGGTATTCCTGATAGCTACTCTGCTAAATGTCACGTTTGCTATCAGATTCTTTCTTTTCCTTTAAATTCTTGTATATATACTTACTTCACCATCATTGTTTAACGTAAACGCTCTTGCATAAAACATAGTCGTGTTATATTTTAGAATCTGTCGCCAGCGCGCTATATGTTGTATAGACTGGTTCTATATAAAGAATCAACTTTAAACTTATATGCTTAATTATGCATATCTAGGGTTGGTAATAATGCTTATTTGGATAGATGTTTTCGCAAAATAGGAAATTAAGGCATGAGTAACTCTATAAAAGGCTAACTCTAGAAGTTGAAAGTTGAAACTATCGGCGGTTTATTATTGGACTTGTTTTAATATCTTATTAATAATAAATGAGAAACTCCAGGTGCATCTAATAGTCAAAACTCTAAACCTAGTATGAGATAGAGTTGCAGATCAATTTATGGAATTAATGCCTGAGTGTCACTCATTGGCTGGCTGGACTCCAGTGCACCATAGCTGGACTTCTGGTACTTCTCCAGAGTTTTCGTCATGCTGTCACATAGGCCAACAAGCATAGAGTATTATAACAGCATCTTTTACTTCCCAGGGGCAACTTTTAGCTCTTTGGAAGAAAAAAAAATTACAAAAGATCACTAAGCAATAATGGATTTTATAGTTACCGAATACTTACGACGGGTTTTTTTAATAATTAATGTCAAAACTTCAAAAAAAATCAAGAAGTTCGAGAAATTCAGAAATGAAAAAGAACTCATCTAATTATAATTTTTTAAATTAAATAGAACATGCAGAAACAGTTAGCAGAAAAGCATAAAAGTTCATCAAATTAGCTTATTATATACAAATTATAAGTGCCTAGAATTTTCTCTAAAACCATAGCACTCTTAAGAGTCAAATGTCCCTACAAGCGTCTCCCTGATTGAGAAAACTAGGGTAGTAGTAAAACCAGTGAAAGCATCTAGCAAGATGGAATACTGACATCGGCATTCACAAGGAGTCCTTTTGTGTAGCACCCGAGAAAAGTAAAAGAAAACAAATTGGCATGTCTAAGTTCAAACAATCAAATTTATGAAGCCCCAAAAAGACAATACTTGCTAACCCTACAGCATCACAACAACGTTGTGAAAATTAAATTATTTACTTTGCATGTGAAATAAGGTAAACAAAGAAGGTTTCTCATTACACAAAACACAAGAGCGCAGTAAGAAAAATTACTACTGGAAAAACCAAAAGACTAGAAATATATTGTTTTTAATATAATATTGAAAGGTTGAAAATATTATAGTGAGAAAAATCCTCCCAGCTTGTCTTCTCGATAGCCCCAAACAGCTATTCCACAACGGTTTTTAAGGATTTTAAGCTCAATTGCAGCTTTAGAAGTTCACCGGCATTTCTTTTTCTCTCTCCCTCTCAAATCAAGTCTTAAATTGCGATGTACAGTGCAGGTTTCCACATCAAACATCCCATCTCTGCCACCAAATCATAACAGTGGAACCCTGTACTCTTAATGTTAATGTCTGCTCCGGTGGTTTCTAGGGCTAGCTCCTGCTTCTATCTCATGGGTAGAAAAAGATACCCTCCCACATTTCTTCTTGACAAACAATTGCAAGAAATTATTGGAATCTGATATAGAACTCCTTTTTATGGACGACTCAGAAAATTAGAGCTGTCTTTGAAGGAAAGGAGGGAAACGGAAAAGAAAAGAACTTTTTACAAGGTTTCTTATGGCTAAGGAATCTTGCCCTAGCTCAAGGAGGATATTTATGACCCCCGTCTGGAAACAACCCAGCAATATGAATTCTTCCGACAAGGAACTTTGACATGGCAAAACAATTTTTTCCCCTTCTTTGCGGCACTTCTCTTTTATACTTGAGGTGAGAGAATGAAAAATGCTTCAGATCTTCGTATGAAGAGGAGGAAAAAAAAACCACTTTTTTTCATCAGCTTATTGTTCAGGAAAACGAAAACATGAAGAAGTAGAAATACCACTTTTCAGTTTATTACTCTGGAAAACAAACAGTCAGAAGACTGGAAACTTCACTGCAGTTCGCCCTTGATACAGTTTTGGAAAATGATAAAGAAATGGCCAAAAGAAAGAAAAATAAGTGAGAGATCATTTTTGTTTTTGTTTTTTCTTTTTGCTTATGAGATATGAATATATCAGAACCCATAATACAGGCACAGGAAACAAAGCAGAGATCTTGCACAAAACTAATAATGAATACACATAGCGGAAAATGCTTGTTGTTTTAATGGACAGAATAATTAATATTGACGAAACACGCAGATGCATATAAGAAAGATTTGAGGAGGGGGAAGGGGAAATATATATACCTGGAGCCACTGCTGAACTCATAGAGCTTGCCACGATTGGAGAAGATGATGAGGGCAACCTCAGCATCACAGAGGACAGAGAGTTCATAAGCCTTCTTGAGAAGCCCATTTCTTCTCTTAGCGAATGTAACCTGCCTATTGATTTTGTTCTCTATTCTCTTGAGCTCAACTCTGCCTCTTCCCATCTTCTTTCTTTTTCTCTTTCTAGCTCTCTTTCAAAAATACAAACTTTCTCTCTTTCCAGTATTGGTTAAGAGATGAGAGTACTTTCTTAAATGGTCTCAGTGTCTAGGGTACCAAAAGGGTTAAAAACAATAGTGGAGTATAAGAAATAAAAGTGGAAACCCTGAAAAGGCTCCCCTTATTGGTTTAGATTTTGGTCTTCATCTCTGCACCACGCAATGTCACAAATATGTACATGTTTGTTCTCCTTTAAAAAATGTAATAAATTGGGTTCGTACTTTCTTACATTTCTGATTTCTCACAATAATATCTAAGTTGCGTTTGTTTGTTATCTTAATCTATTAAAGATCAAATTGATCATTCTTTGTCCATTGTTTCCCATATATGCAATGATGAAAGTGAACCAGACATAACATCTAAACTTGATTAAATGTACAGTTGTCCGACGTCGGACTCAAGAAATGCATTTAGCAGGCCTTGATTGATTGCTTCATTACAATACTTTGCGCTTACTAATGGAAATGTTTGAGAAGTAACAATTCCTTATATTATCTCAAAATGAATCATCAATATTATATATTATACACAGCATATATTATATATCAGTATAGATGAATCCATACTTGTAAATTTTTCATTCCATTTTCATTCTCCACTAGTTCATATGATGTACTACGGACCACAAAAAGAGGTGGAAAAAAAAGACCTTAAGTTTCTCCCAACCAATGGCTTCAAGCTAGCTTGCTTGTATTATAGCTGGATCACTGAAATGCTTGGGAGATCCATCCATGTGATGATGTAAATTTCATATATAAATGGAAAGTTATATCCATCAATAAGTTGACTGGGTTCTTAGTTGATTTGAACTGGAGTTCCCCTGATGACTCATCCTCCTATAACTGACGACTGTGTTGCCATATTTGCCATGGAATCTATTTTGATTCCTATATTAGCATGAAAGAGTACATCCCTGTGAGGTCGCTGGAGGAAGAAATGGTTTAATTTGGACAAAGTCCAAGAAGGCAACTAACTCTAGCACCTGATTAGTTATCTGATACAGTCGTTTAGTTAATACCTCGTCCCATGTATAACAGACTAAGTGCTTAGTGACATGAGGGGAAACAAGTTTCAAAACACAAGTTGATTCAGAATCTTGTTCACCCTCTCATAAATGCTTGGGAGATAACTTTAGTTAAGAACATTTTTATGAGTTCAAAAGAACACATTAAAAAGAGAATTTTTGGCGCACTTCTTATTAGTCCATAATAATTCAATTAGTATGATATCGTCAAGTTGTTAAACTCGAGTTTTTCTTCCCACATCGTAAAAAATCCGAATAAGTTCATTTCTCTCGTGTGGGTCGTTCGTTATGGTTCTGAATAGCTCAACATTTACAGCTCAGCTGCTATCTATATATGTGTTGAGGCGTGCTACTGAAAGAATGACGATTTGTTTAATTATGCGAGTGACGTTAGGTTATTAACGTAAGACGCAGTACAAGTCGTGCGTTGGCTATTAATGGAACGTTATTGACGAACTTATCACTGTAGATTACGGAAATGAAAACACATTAACCAGTTTATTAAAATCTTGTGAGTTAGAAATGAAACGAAAATGATGAAGCTAGAGACAGTTGGATTGTGGGGAAACGAGAGACAATAAGAAAACCAACGGTTCAAACAGTTAATTTGATAAAGAAAGAGTGGGGGTATTGTCTGAGACTGCAAGAAAGAGTTGAGTCAGAGTTCAGGGCTAGGTGTCGACTTACGAGTGGCCTAGATTTCATCCTCTTGATGGTGCTTCGAATTCCACGTAGTATATTGGTTTATTTCTCTGTGGATGAAAATGGGTATATATACACACACAGATGATATATATATTCGATCAGAGAAATTAAATGAAAGTAGACTCAGAGGCCGAAGGCGGCAACAAAACAAGAAGAGAAAATATCTGCTTCTGTATTTAGTGTGGCTGTTTTGGTACAATGGATCCTCCTCAATCTTCCTCTCTAGCATCTCTGTCTCCCTTCTCTTTCCCATTTCCCTTCCATCATTGGATCAATATACCAATAACGTTGTAAAGAGGGTAGAGAAACCTATGGAGAGGATGAGTGGATGTCACTGACAAGGTGGGGGCCACGTTTTCATTCATAAAAGCACCCCCTTCCCATCACCTTCCCCAACACTACTAACCATTATCACTTAATCTTTAATTTGCTTATAAATCTGATCTCATTTCATTTTTGTTATCTCTAGTTAATACATATTATATAGTCTATATTAGTGAGATTGAACCCACTAGCTCTAACTTCGAGAAAACTTTCATTTCAATAAGTTGTTTGAGTTTATCTCCATGTTCTGAATGAATAAAACAAGAGATACGTAAGACAATAAGCAGCAAAAACGAATCTCCATGGAAGGGCAGTAATAAAAGTTTGTTAGGAGAAGTGGGTGTGGGGGGGTGGGCCAACTTGATGTGGCTGCATGGAATAGACGCTTCATCAAGTAGCCACAGTCGTGGGGCCTCGATGCGACCTCCACTTTGAATTTTTCCACACACCCCATCTTTATTTTTGCATATCTCTCCTCATATCAGATACAAGACACAGAGGCTCATATTTAAAAGTATGGATGACACGTAGATTCTGAACTAGCTCCGTAAAGAAGTGTATGTGGCGCTGGTTGGCTTGACTCTCTTGTCCAAATTATTAAGGTTTTAAAAAGAGAGATAATACACACACACATATATGCTTCTTCTTCATCTTCATCTTCTTCTGCTTCTGGCATACAAAGGTTCAAGTGATTGTCCCTATTCTCAGTAGCCCACGTGATTCTCCTCTCTTCCCTCTTCATCACATCACTTCTCATCTATCCAATCCACTGTTCCTCCTTCCACGTCTACATTTAATAAACTGAACTTCATCTATTTGTTTTTCTTTTCTCTCTCAATAATAATAACATGATTTGTATGCTACTTAATATAGTAAATGATGAAAGCAAGTTGGCCATTGTGCATATATAGTTAATAGAACTCAGGGGCTTCAACTCATCAGTTTTCATATGTTTCTGCTGCTGGTATGCTATTTACTGAATGAATATTAGAATGGGAGAAAGATATAGGACAAAGTTTGAGCTTGGGTGTGTCGGCTTCAATAATGCATTTGTGGAAACAAAGCTACGTGCAGTTTCAAAACGCCATCATCATCATCAACAGGATTGTCAAGATGGCCCTTCTTGAAACACAACCACATGAACAAACAGTTCCCTTTAATTTCTGGACCATTAAATGAGCCCCATTGCCCAGTTCAAGTCAAATTCGTCTTTCTACTAATATTAATAATCACTCCCAAGCCTTGCTCTGTGAAGCTTTATTTCGTATATCCTCCTACGTACTAATAATTTATAGCCACACCAATGCCTACCACTTTTGTCATTTTTGCTTAGAAAGGAGAGAAGCCCCTGTGGAGGACGACTGTATTATTATCTTATCTAAAAGGTGGAAATAAACACAAAACATCGCAGCCAATAAAAAAGAAGAAGCATATCTTTAGTTGCTGTTCAAGGGAAGATATGCCTAATTGGTTTGTTAAGGATATGTCAAATCCTCACTAATTAATCACAATGAGTAATGCTTTTATCTATGGCGGCCAATTATATATAGAACTTTATTATATTTCTACCGCAACCCAATTGGTCGGTCAATTCATATATAGTTTCGCATAATCAGGCCTTAATAAAGAAGGCTGTGGGCAATGTACGTATCAAAACCAATGGGAATAAATGAATGAGTAGACACAACAAGTTGACTAAACAAAATTTGATCATATATCCACATTACTTCTCAGTAATTTGGAGCAACATCAGGCAAAAAGAACCCCAAAAAAAAAAAACATTGCCTGCACTTGTCATTTACTTTACTGGATCAAATAAATGCCATCACTCGCATCATTCTCTTACTGGGCCACTTCCACTCTTATTGGGCTCTTCCTTGCTTCCATGACCCCGAAGCAGCCCAGCAACTGCACTTTGAATTTTCTTTGGACAGTAAATTCTTATCACTGCGCTGTTTTTTAATCCAAATCTCCCCCCCTTCTCGCTGAGATTAAAGAAACGGGTTAACACAATTATATGAAACTTACTTGTGTAGTTTCTATTCTCAATCAAACACTTCTCTTCTTCTCGAGGGAGGGAATGCAAAAGCAAACCACTTTGAGCCTGAGAGTCTGATGGTATATCCTGGATTAAAAAAGGAAGAACAATTGAGGTGTAAGTGAATGCCAAGTGTAGAGGGGACGTGATGATTTGATTGGATAGTTGAAAAGTCCCACAGAAACGAAATAATTAGAGAATGGACGCTTCATATTGCAATATGCTAATCTACAGCACACGTATATCAGGCAGGCATTATTGCAGACGCAGTGCGTTTTATATTGTACTATTCCTTCAAGACACGCAACAGGAAACTCAATACCACACATCACACAACACGTACTCAAGTTCTCCAAAATCTTAAATAAAAAACAAAGAAAAACCACATCAAACATGAGACTAATCATTGTACACTTTGTCAGCACACGCAGAATAACTTTTCTCTCTCTTCTTCCTAACCTTCTTTGTTTCTTTAATTTTCTCATCAAAAGTGAGAAAGTGAAAGTCTTGTCCCTCTATTCTCTTTGTCAAGTCCAAACACAGCTTTTATTAGCGTCACGCGTTAGTATCCATTGCATCTAAGTGCCTTCATCAAGAGTTCAATAACCATATATATCCTACACGACAAACTCTAAACTCATAATTCTTCTCAAACCACAAGTTATAATATATTTTTATATATAATATATACACATGATTGAACTTTGGAGGAGGACCACTGTACAGCATGTACAGTGATGGATCGAGCAGACAGACTCTCTTGCAACATCGGTTTCACTGAGTTCAATAAATAAATAAGTCCAACGTTTTTGGAGCGTTGGATTGCCAATTGACCACACAATCTACATTTTTATGCGTGGCTATTACAACAACTTTCAACTAATTATCAATTATCAGACACACTAATACATATGTGCAATTAATGGTCCAACCAGAACACCAAACTCAATGGGCAAACTTTTAATATTTGTGTCATTGTTTTGTTGTGTGCAGGTGAAGGTGGGCCTCCATTACCACTCTCTAAAAATGGCAAAATTGTGGTGATGTGTTGCCAAACATTGAATCTGTTTCCTGCTAATCAATCTCAGTGGGGTTTCTAATAATTCTAGGAGTAAATATTCTCAGGCTGGTTGGGAAGTCTCAACCAATTCAATTAAATTTCTTGTTTTGCAGAGGGAGAGGGGGGGGGAGGTTTGAGTTGGAGGGAGCAAACTAAAGACACAATGTAATAAATTACAGTCAACCTTAATTAACTGTGTTTTAAGTTAACCTGTGTCTCTAAGAAATTAAGAAAAGTTGAGAGAGAACAGAGACCAGCATGTTAGATGACAAATATAAAGCAACAAGTGAATTGATGAAGGGAAAAGAGAGAAGTACATGACTGTTTCCACTTGTGCTCTCACTTTTGGTCAAATAATGAAGCAGGGTGGGTCCATATGGATGGAATTCCTTCTACACCACAAAGGCCAAATTTAATCAAGAACTAATCAGCCAAATAATTAACAGCAGTAGTTAAGGAAGAGAAAAGGAATTATATATAGGTTTTGGCTCGTCTTGGATGAAAATGAAATCATATCTGATAACTGATATTTTGTCTCAGATGTTTCACCTGACTGATTTATACAGATCAAACAAACAAACCTTACAGAAATCTAACACGCTGATGTGTTTAATATATAAACCATAAACAAGAAAACTGTGTCAAACAAAAGAGAATGTGATTAAGGTTGAAAGAGCAAAGGGACATAAAAGTGAATGATATCGAGGAAAGGGATATAGAAATCTGAAACTGGTGTGTGGGGTCACATAAAGGAGAAACATGGGGCAATAATTTACATGAAACCCTAAAAATGAAAGGTAGGGGGGGACCATTATAGAAAGATGAGTGGTTGGATTAGAGGACAGCTTTGTTCATGGGAGAGTGTTTGGTTATTCCTCTTAGTTGGTGCAGTAGGTTCCCTTACCAATCACTAACACTCCATTGTCATGTTACTTTTTAAATAATACAAAACTTCAATTATAACTCTGCAAGAGAGATTCAATTTCTGGTCTTTATGCATTTAAACAAACTTACTTGAGAAAGATTTATCTTTGTCTTCTTCACATCAAAAAAAGTTAAGTTTTGTTATTAGTAAAAGATATTCCGTTTTATCCCATTTTTTATCATCAAATATAAGGTACAAGTTACCAGCAAGTTGTTTGTTGAAATGATAGGCAGTTTCATCCCCGTAAAAAGAAAAACATAAATTTGAATAACATGAAACGTATTTGTTAGAAGGTTTTTAATCATAATGCTATTGATCGGACAAAAATTAGTCTCAAGTCCAATTTGATTTAAAAATACCTTAAGTTATAAAAAAAAAATATAGCGTACAAGTTAATTGATGCACATAGATCAAAAGCACTAACAGTTGGTGTATGAAAAATGTTTTTTATTTCCTATTTTGACGAGGTTAACTCTGCATTCATATAAATGAGAAATCCCAACCTTACGAGAATTATCCTAGCACACACCAAATATGATTTTGTAACTTACTCTCAACCCTAATTTCAATTTCAATTCTAATCTTATTTCCATTATCTTAAAATTAAGTATAGCGCACCAAGCAGCTTTTTGTATGTTGGCATAAGAAGATATTAACAAATAAGAGGCACGTAATTTTGATATATTTTATTAATAAAAATGTGATAGCGAAATTTCAAGATGTGGTATACGAATAGATGACGTGTTGATCCATAGTTAATAATGAGATCTGATTGGGATTTTTTTGTCGATTTCTTATAAGAAGGGAAGCCAAGAGAAAGGAGGGTGTTGATTTTTCTTTTCAATTTCCATTAAGTGGGTGTTTAGATTCTAACAAAAATACTTTTTAAAAATATTTTAAAATAAATTGAAATAAAATTCTTCTTACATGCTTACTTTATTTTATATATTACTACATTAGTCTTAATTATAAAAGCTAGTTGACTGATTTGAGGATATTAATAGAATAAGTTAAGTTAGTTATTTGTAGTAAATATGTGTTGTCTTTTCTAAAATATCCTTACTAATCCAGTGTGCTGATTAGAACTATCATTATTAAAAAAACTATATTAAAAAAATATAAATATTAAGGACAAAATGGATTGAAATCTTATATTTAGGATCAAAATAGAAATTAAACGAGATTTTATATTAAAAATTAAAAATAAAATAAAATAATTTTTAAAATCATAATTTAATTTGACACCTCTTGAATAAGAATTTCCCGCCCCCTAAATAAGAATGTCCCGAAATGGGTTGCGGGCCATGCCCCATTTGCTCGGATTAACATCGTGCTTGTTGCTACGTGCCTACGTCACTCTCTGCCCAAGGGCCGTGGACTTACGCGCCCATGCCATTAATGCAAGAGTACTACGTGTCACCAGAATGAGAGTCGGAGCTTGTTATGTCGTGGGGCCTGTCTGTTAAATCCCAGCATGACGGGTTTGACGGTGCATGGATAGTCCTTGGACCTCAGCTACACTTTATATTTCCTCCGTCTTATCCATGTGGTTAGGTTAATTACTACTCCCTCCGTTCCTTATTATAAGAAACATTTGATGCTTATAGCATATTCCTATATATAAGAGACACTTACAAGTTGTCTCTACTTTTTTGTGTTGATTTACTATTTTATCCATATTTATTATCTCCAACTCACACTCTCTCTCCTTCCCACTTCTCTTTCTTTTAATAATTTAATTATTCTCTCTCATGCTCTCTCTCCTTATTAATGAGGGCATTTTTGGAAAAAATTATACTTTTTACACATTAATTGTTATTAACTAATTTTAACTGTTTTTTTGATCAACGTACTTCGGTTATTTGTCTCTTATAATAAGGAACGGAGGGAGTATAATTTTTTCTTTTGTAATTTTTTTGTTAAAAAATAAAAAAAATTATGGAGGTTAGAGAGTCAAGTTTTTATATTTCTCTTTCTCCTTCTCCATGTTTTCTACAAGAATATTCCTTCCTTTCCTCTTTAAAATTGGTAAGGGGACCAACTAGATCAATTAACCATTACCACGTTAACAACCATGAATTGAACAGTAAAAGAGCTTGCCTGATATGGCTTCATAATTAGTGTAAAACCTCATTTTCTCTTCTCAAAGATGATTTTACCATGAACTTGTAGTTTTTTTATATCATTTTACTTGAAAATTGTAGTTTTCTTGAAATTTTAATATTTGCATAAATAGGAAGATCTTTCTCGAAAAATATTTTGTGCATTAGAATTCAAAATAATGATTTAATATTCAAAGCCTTTCCAAGGAAATGTAGAGGTCTTTGCGCAGGGAGTCCATTTTTTTGGTTCTTCAAGAATTGAAAGCATTTATCTCTTACCAAAAATAATAGTACGTTTTCCATCTACGGGGACCGGAGTTCAGTTCCTATAGGACTAGGGATGCACAAAAAAATCTGAAGCTCAGTCGACTCGGTCTGACCTATACAAACCCGATCCAACCCAGTCTAAAAAAAAAAACGATGAGGAGACAGGACTAATCAAGTCAGACTAAAATACCGGGTTAGACCAGGTTAATGACTGATGTGTCAGACCATGTGGTCTAACCCGGTCCAGGTAACTTTTTTTCTAAAAAGCATCTATAAGTGCTTAATCATTTAATGGATATATTAAATTTGAGCCCAACCCAACAAGCAATCAACTTCTTGACCTGAACATACTTTTTCCTTTCAATTTGTAGTTTCAGTATCTGGTGATGATTTAAATGAAAGTTTAGGATTAAAATTGGGTTATTTGAATTTTTGTTTGTTTGTTCTTTTATTTTTTTTCGCTGAATGTTGTCAATATTAAATATGATCTTATTTATTTTGTGATATATAGATCATGTAAGAATCTCATCTTCCCAGAAATAGCTATGTTTATTTAATTTTAGATGAGTAAAAAAAAATGGAAAGCTCTATTTATTTAATGGAAAACCTCAATATACTTTAGAACATTTGGAATAAAGTAGCAAAATATGCTGTAAAAATATTTTTTATAAAAAAAAAAGCATCAAAACACATATGAAATGAAGTTAAAAAAAAAAAAAAACAACCTAGACCAGTCTGGTAACCCAGTGGACCGAGTCCAACCCGGTCTTAGTCCCAGGGCTACTCAGATTGGACCAGACTGAAGACCAAAATGTCCAACCCGATGCTTTTTCACTAGACTTCAGATTGATGCTTAATCCGGTCTAGTCCGGTTTTGGTGCACCCCTACCTACAGCCGATGGGCAATTCTTCAATAATAATGATAGCAAAATGAAAGGAAAATAATCCACACATCTTAGATAAGAGAATTAATATAGAGAAATTTCAATAAATTCAATTTTTTATAAGCTTTTTAGGTTTGACTTGTCCCCATTTAATTCTATTTATTTACCATTTTCAATATATTTCACATAGATTAAAAAAAGCTTTAAATTTTATCAACTCTCATTTAAAATTTAACAACTTTTTAACTATTAATATACATTATACTTGATAATAAAGAAAGGATAATATTGTATATTTGTACAAAAAACTTCTTTCTTAGTTTTATAAGTAGGACAAAAAACGTCTTCTCTTTATCTTATAAATAATATCAGCAGAGTAGACATTAGAACTTGATTTATACAAATATAAAATCACAAAAATTTGACTTATGAATCTTTAAGTTGACCTTCAGATTTATCAATAATTTTTCTGGAAAAAGAAAATTTTTTCACGCAAGCTTCGGTGTGGCGGGGGATTTATTAATACTCCTTGCTAAACGAAGCGAAAGGGCGGTGAAAAAGCTCTTGAATGTGGACACAGTCTCGCTGTCTCTCTCTAAAATTGGAAACCGCGAGCTCTTCCATTTCCATGGAGTTTGGGGGACGCTCAGTTTAATCCTGCCTCTGCCTCATCCACATTTCACAATCCCACTCGTACAAGCACACTACTACTTCTTATTCGTGCTTTAGGCATCCACTGTTCTTCCTTTTTCTCATCCACTTTCATCTTTATTTCTTTATTTCTCTCTTTCTCATTCACTGTCTGAATTGCGTTTTTTCACCTTCATTCAGTCCTCTGCTTAAGCTGACACTGTCTTCCTCACATTGAGCAAATAAACCTGTTTCTTAACCGCTTCTCCTTTCACATCACGTGGGCTTCTGACTTCCGAGTCTTCTGACCTTTCTTTTTCCTTTCTTTGGTAGCTTCTTTGCTGTTTCTTTGGTTACCTGGGCTTCGAGTTCTTTATTATGGGTTATCCTTATTCAATTTATTTTATCCCTCAGAAATTAAAGAACTTCAAAAAGTCGTGGCTTCAGGGTGTCTAATTTGTCTCCTTTTCTATATCTGTGTCTAGTTTAGCATTCATGGCTCCATAAGTATCGTTAGCTTTTGCTTGGTTGGAGCTAAGCTAATCCAAGTTCAATCTGAATTTTGGCCACGTAAGTATTAGCAAAGTGGGCTTCTTTGCTTTCTCTTGCGCTCTGATTCTTGTTCATGAGATGGAGTCCTGGAGTTATGATTCTGAAGAAAAAGGGTTTGTGTCCAACGATACACACTCACCTCCTAATACACTTCCCAGGAGTAAAGGTTCCATCTTGGGATGGGAATTGAAGAGTCCCTCTGGTATCTCCAGCGACATGTTATCCTCCGGTCAGCCAAATGTAGAATATCAAGGTTTTGAGGAAACGGGTTTTCCAGAAATGTTGGACAAACAATTGTCCGATGATCCAATTAGTAGTGTGTCGAACAGAAAGCTCGACGGTGGTCCTTCTATGGTTGCTGCCCCAATTGCGATTTCTGGAGTTGAAGACTCCAATTCGAAGCTTTCTAACTCCGTGGTTGAATCTAACGGTCGAGATTCGCTCATTGATTTGAAGCTTGGACGATTTGGCGATCCCAGAGAAGCCATGGATTCGGCATTCTCCAAAGGAACCCCTATTTTATCTTCTTCAGAATCATCGGCTCCGACCAAGAGAGTACGAGGTTCGGGGGTTCATTCACAAACCGCGTACTGTCAAGTTTATGGATGTAATAAGGATCTGAGCGCCTCTAAAGACTACCACAAGAGGCACAAAGTTTGCGAGGCTCACTCGAAGACTTCCAAAGTTATAGTCAACGGCATCGAACAGAGATTTTGTCAGCAATGTAGTAGGTTGGTCAATTTTTCCTGCTCTCACCTTTCTATTTGGGCTTCTCAATAATATGTTATCGAATGTTTTGTCTTCTCTTGTTTTTCTTCTGTCTTCCCATTTTTCTTGTTCAAATTCTTTTCCTTACTGTTTCACAAGTACTTGGTATTTTCAGTATTGGGAAAAGGGGGTGTGTGTGTGTGTCAAATTCTTGTGTTCCTAATGAAAAATATTGGCTGCCCGACTTGTTACATGAAGAAATCAGGCCTAATCATTGTTGGGGTGCTACTTTTCATCTATCTGAGTAGATTACTTCTCATGATTATGTTTAGTGACGTTGTAATTCTTATCCTGTCAGCTTTACCGCTTCATTTATTACAAGATGAATGATGAATCGGCTTGTGAAAAGATGCTATGTTGTAATGATTTATAGCAGAGCTGTGATGTTTGGTTATTCCAGGTTCCACTTGCTGGCTGAATTTGATGATGGTAAGCGTAGCTGTCGCAAACGCCTTCAAGGTCATAACGAGCGCCGGCGAAAGCCACAAGTCGGTGTTCACTCTGGAAAGGCTGCAAGATTGCTTCCACCATACAGTGGTAATAATACAGTCTTTGAGCTCTTCCTTTTGGCCCTTTAAGCCTTTCTTCCATCCATGTTCTTCCTTAAATTCTCACCTCTTATGTTAGTTCATGGCATCTTCTAAAGCTTGAAAGTGGTGTATTGTTATAACTTCATGATTCTTCATGCCTTATGTGATTGACAGCAAGTCTTTTTGAGAAGCGGGCTAGTTTTGGTTTATTTCCATCTCTTCTAAGGTTTATGTGCCTTTGCAATGTCATACAATAGTAAGCCTAAGTTTTTGTTCTTATTAAATATGGCAAATCCCTGTTTGATATATAGCCAATCGAAGGGGATTCCCTTTCCACTGCACAATCGAAATATCTAACATCTATTATACTCGTATTATTACTCAACAGTAACTTTTGATTTCTATTGCTTTGTTTTATTCTAGGATATAGAAGACATTTTTCATCTATAAAATTACTTTTCTTTCCCATCGTGGTCTCTTTTCATCTTCTTAAATTCTCTGTACCAAACTTGGACATAGCTTGACTCCTATTCATTGTACCATGTAACTCTATGATAAATGATGCAGCTTTTCAACATTATATTCTATTTCGTGTCCGTTGGTGGTTTATTCAAGGATATGCTGATTAATCCAACGGTTACTCTTCTGTAATACTTCTGTTTCTATCTTTTTGTCCCTGTTGTTTCAAAATGTTTATTTTTTATCAATATATTCACACATAGTCCCTAGAGTTACATGGCAGATAAATTTGAAGTCATACTCGTATAGTCTGGGTTATTTGTTCACGTGCTCGATGTGAAGCATAAATGACTTACTCAACCAGAATAATGACTCAATCCCCTGGAGGATATCTTTAATTTAGCCACTAACTGCTTCTGCAGTCATCTTGTGTTAGTTAAGTTGTTTGCTTCGAAATTTGATGGAGATTGTGTGGTTTTGCAGATGGTAGATTCCAGGGCATCATGCCAACAAGTGCATCTTTTATCTGCCAAGAAATACTTCCTACCGGGACTTTGCGCTCCGATAAATATGGGACAAATGACTGGTGGAGACCTATAAAGAACGAAGATGGGAATGATTTTAGGCATCTTCCTGCTGTTCCTATCGCAAATGGACACCCTCCGTCAAGATCTCTATTCCCTTCATATAATGAAAGACAGTTTCCTTTTCTTCATGAAAATGGTGCTACATCCAGTACTGGAAGCATCTTCTGTGAGAACAACAGTCAGTATCCACCTCCTGCCATGGGTCCAAATTCTGTGGCGCAACCTTTATTCCAAGACACTTCCTTAAGAAGTGAGGACTTCAACGTTTATGATACCACATCAACGATTCAGGGACTATCGGGAGTTTCAGATTCTGGCTGTGCTCTCTCTCTTCTGTCATCTCAATCCCGGAACTCTTCAAGCCACTCATCAGGAATCCCCATGGCTCGCCCATTGGTCATTCCAAGCAGCAGCCATAGTAATTACAGCCAGAGTCAGCTTACTGAGAACATCGTAGGAATGAGCTCACAGGCTTCTGCAAGTGCAGGAGTTTCAGATAGGTTTCGATCTGAGATGAATCCTGCCACTGATGGAAGTCATCTTAGTCCTGTGCTGGTATCAGACAATAGTAATATTCTCCATTTTGAAATGTCAGATGGCATGTTCCAGGGGCCAGGTTTTGTGAACATAAAAGATGGTCTTTCCTGTGAAGATGGCCCTACTATTGACTTGCTTCAACTATCATCACAGCTCCAGCGAGTTGAGCATCAGAGGCAATCCTCGCAGGCGAAGCAAGAAAATGATTCTTCCCGGTCTCTTCGGACTGCTTAAAGTACTCTGGATGAGGTTAGTGATTCCACTTCATATAAATTAGATTACCCTTTACGACACTTTTGTATAGATCGCTTGACAACATATTATTCACTGCCTTGAAGTTATGTTTCTTCTGTGGTGGAAGGTATAATGACAAATCAGTGGAAGTTATTTTCTTTTCAAATTTCCTACTAAAGAATAGACTTCACTCTTTATTGATACAGGAAACAAAACAGTGTAGAAGACACCTGTGCTCATGATCTTAAGTGCAAATGGAAGCATCGAAAGCCACCGGAAAGGACAACCTTGAGATGGGCATCTTCCATTCTCACGATGCAAACTAGGTTGATTAGCTTGCTTAAGCTGACACGGATTTCAAAGTCATTATCATGAACTTACCAACTAATCTAGTTTTTATCAGTAACAATGGTTGACAGTGGCACATAATGGTCCCTCAATCTAAACAGATGCCGCCTGCTTCATTAGAGCCAAATGTCGATCAAAACTGGTTTGATTTTGTGAAAATCTCAAATGCTGACTGTGTTGTTGACCTTCCCTAATCATGTACTATCATAACGCCACGTTAAAAAATCAAGACAAAAGTTTCAAGCTGTAAACATGGTATCAACAGAAAATACCATTTGCGTTTAACATCATGGTCCCTGTCGGCAAAGATATTTACATTTAGCATCGTCTAGGTGAACGTAAAATACGGCACCATACTTGGGTGGTGGGCGGCACAAGGGATTCCTTGCATTGAGACGCCTGGAAACAGCCAGGAAAGAACAGAAGTATCAATTTCATTAACCCACGTGTCCGTTCAGTCCAATGCGTAACAAGTGAAGAAGAAAATAGCAATATCACCGAGACGGAAACTCTTCCATTTTGGCGTTTCTACGAAATTATGTTTCAGATTTCCATGTCGTTGATCTACTGGTCACATTTATGAAGAAAAAACTTGGAACAGTTTGTCTTTTTCTCTCACAGAAGAGTCGCCTCGCCCATAATCGGCTGCCGTATCCTACCGCACTGCATTATGACTCTCCACCGTCCGCCGCACCTAACAAGAAATGAACTGTATCCTCCTGATACGAGAAATCCAGATGTGGATTCATATTTCTCTGTCAAACCTCTATACGTAGCTATGTTTGGTACCGTCATGAAAGAGCAAGGACAAAGACATTCATCAGTAAATATTAGGAAAAATAACAAAAAAAAGTTAAAAATTATAATATTTTAGTTTAGGAACCTAAAAGGCTAAAACTTCAAAATCTTAAAGGAAAAAATGATATCTGATCTGGTATTTTATAAATATAGCCAAATGATTAAAATACTTGTGTATCAATTTTTTTTTAAAAAAAAAAAGCCATCAAACTTGTCATTTTTTGTCATTGGCTATTTAATACTTATTATTATTAGTTTATAACTTATTAATAAATAACTCATCATTGTTAATATATATTTCTTGTCATTTGCTTTTCACACTTATTATTGTCAGTTTATAACTTATTAATAAATTTTTGTTATACAAAAATATTTTTGTCATTTAGTTACATTTGCAAAATACCATATTAGGTATTACTTTTTTTCATGGGATTCTGAAATCTTGAGTGTTTGAATTGAAATATTACAATTTTCAACTCTTTTTTTTAATTATTTTCCCTAAATATTAATCCTAAATGCGATATTCATTGCGTTGTTATTTTCAGTATCATCTTATCTATAGAGAATTTATTAAAGTTAGCAATTCACAAACTACTAGGATTCAGAAAAATGGCAAGTGAAAAGACGATTTTATTATTAGCCTAGCTCTATTATGCATATATTTCCCTTTTGCTTGCCCGTCCGTTCATCTGCGTTAATCACACTATCTCCCGCCGAGAATTGAAAGCTGACCCTTTTCGAGTAGGATAAAACATACATACATGAATATCTATCCTCTTCCAAACCAAAATCAGACATGATGCTTCTCGTACCATCATCCTATGACAGGAAGGTACTACTTTTTGCAAAACATCACCAATCTCAATTTGTAAAATCGCCAACAACATCGGGAAAGGAGAAAGTTTAAATTGATTGGAGGGAAGAAAAGATGACGGTAATTTTCTATTGATCGTATAATGGTCTGTTGGTAAATTTCTATAGCCATTCTTGATAAATATTGATGGTTCTTCAATATTATTTTCCCTATTTTTAATGTATAGAGCTGTCATGATTATTGTTGCCCGCACTATTTTTTTTCCTTCTCTGCAACTCATGCCCTAGACATTTTCTCCCACCAAAGCTTCTTTTTCTTCTTTTCATGAAAGCCTTCCCTCATCTGGCCCCTCTGCAAGATCACTGTCAATTCAAAATCTCCTTCTTGTTCTTTTCTATGGTTTTTTTTTTTTTAGTGAAAATCTCCTTACTTGAAATTGACTCCTTTCTTTTGTGACGATGATCTCATGTTGGCTTGTCACCCTCGTAAGAATATAAAACAAAATTAGTGTTCTGTTTCGAAGATTTGCAGAGAGAATTCCAATTTCATGTACTTTCTTTATTAACTAGATTATTATTTTGTTTTCTTTTTTTTTTTAGAGAAAAAAATTAACTTTCGACTCAGGCATTTTTTTCTTCGCAATCTTCTTGACAACCATTTGACCGTTGTCTTCTGAAATAGACATCTACCAAGCCCACAATATTGTTCATTATGAAGTAAGCTAACTATCCAACAGATCAAGCTAGTCGTTCAGCCTTTTGATGGCCGGCCCCCCAAACAAAATTGGCCTTTCGAATTTGAAATTCAAACCACGCAATGATTACCTAGGAAGGCTTTAACAAAGTAGGAAAAGGAAAGGAAGACAAAATGGGGGAAATGGAGGGACAAGGAAAGCACAAACGACACAACACAATCATAGCAAACTCAGTCCTGATAAATATTCCAAAAGCAATAATCCAATATGAAGTTAAAAGACTAAAATGGTCAATAAAAGAAGTTACACATCCCAGCCTATATTTGGAAAGGCAAAAAAAAAAAAAAAGAATAGCAATAACGGGGTGCTTCGAATTTTATTGTTCTAGGGACATGTAAAATAACAAGCATAGCCTCAGCCTCTGCAATGTCCAATAATTTATCCTAGAGCCGCGCTGAACCTTGGACAAAAAGGATAACTCCGAAACTACCAAGGAAAGAACAGTTCTCAATATTTTACTTCGCCGGACCATTGGGCAATGCATCGGATTTTGCACCAGATGCGTTTAATTCGTCCCAAGCTTCAATCCATGTCTCCATGGCATCTGCAAGCTTGACGAAGTACTCGTCAACCTTTCCAAGTTTTGCCTTCACTTGCTTGGCGAGTTCGACATAGCACTTCTGAACGGTAGTGCATTCCTTTGGAAGAGAAGCAGACTGGAAAAATGGAATCAGCTCTTCCTGCCAGAAAATTCCTTTGTACTCTTTCTTCAGGTTCACGAAGGGGTTGCTAGCTTTGCTGTGAAAGATGTAGGGCAAACCTGTCTTCACGCCCAATCCCAGATGATCGCATATGACCTTCATTATATTGATAGAAACTATAGTGAGCTCAAAGCTTACATAATTAAATTCTTTAAGTAATGTGCCGTGTAAGCTGAAAGAGAGGAAGCTAAATTGAAAATTTTAGAACGGAATATACCTTGGTGCACCAGCCAGCCCACATATCATCGTAGCGTCCAATGGGTTGGCCATCGCCCATGAGTCCGAAGTACATTGCAGGGCCAATCAGTTCACGGTTAAAAGCCAAGTTCATTCCACACATGGGAAACAGGGTTCCCTTTGGTATGGTCATAACGGCATCTACGTACCTAGGAGAAAGCAAAAGAAATGGTGAGCATTAATTGCTTCAGAAAAGAAAAAATAACAAAAGCAAACAAAAATGATATATCATTAGGCGCTACCAAGGATGCCATACCTAGTGTTTCTTTCCAATGGCTTCACCATCTGAGTTGGGGCATCATAGTCAGGAATGTTGAGCCAAAGACCATGAGAAACAGCTGTTGGGACACCTTCACGTAAGCTGAATGGATAGCCACGGACGAAATCTGCACCTTCTGCGTATGGATCATAAAGAGTATTAAAGAAAAACGGGGTTGATGGAGTCAGAAGGTTCTTGATATGCTGCTCAAGGGCATTAATGTCCTTCCCAGATGGGTCTTTAGCAACCTGAAAATTATTACGATATGTATCAGATCTAACTCCCTTTCTTGATGTCTTGAATAACAAATCAAATAATTACAGTTATCAGAAAATAACATGCGGTCATGTGGTAGCAGATCTAGAGGGACTATTGACTTAAAAGAAGATTTTAGCTCCGCGCAAGTCAAATACAGACAAGAGAACTAGAGGGGTCTTATTGCAAAGCACCAATGCATTGAATGGGTGATGAAATCTGCGGCAATATATTGCTGCTGATCCAAATTCAAAACTCATTCCAATTCAAATTTATTAACAAAAAAAATTTAAGGATCTGAGAATTTCAGCAAAGATAATAAGATCTACGATGAAGCGAGGAAAGAACATATCAAACGTTAAGAAAACCTGGTGAGTTCTTCGAATTCTGTGGGTCTGCCTAACTATATAGATCAAGTAACATGTGAGGTTTAGCCAAACACAAGAGTTTGTACTCTTAATAAAAGAAAACAAAGAGCTATATTGGGATGACTGACTCTAGTAATAGAAAAATATTCAGATCGTACGGTGATATCAGAGAAAACAGAACAAGAAGGGAAATTGTCACACACGGAACCACATCTACACAAGAACTAACAGCATCGGCAATTAAAATGCAAAATTCAATATTCCAGAAAGAGATTGGGAAAGTGGAGGAAGAACCCACGTAGATCCGAAAATCTAACAAGACGTAACTGACATCCCATTTCCGAATGACTCGCAGAAGAAAAAAAGCGAAGCCGTAAGTGTAATAAAAGAAAGTAGGAAAAGTATTGACTTACAAAGCAATCGTCGTCAATAGTGTAGACGTACTTCTTCTTAGACACCATGTAACCAAAGCAGCGACAAGCAGAGTCCTTGAAGGAAATGCAAGAGGCCTTAGGACCCAAGATCCGATTGATATCGTTGCGGTTGTAAAGTTCATAATCGAAACCTTCAGGGACCTTAATGGTCTTAGAAGGATCACCATCTTGCACAATTATGAGGTGGTAAGGCTGAAAGAAAGGCCTCCACATCTCCAAGAAATCAAGGTTCCTGATCGTCGGAATGACGATGTCGAGCTCATCTTTGAGAAGAGGAGGTGGGACTGATCGCCGCTCCGTACATGGCCATATTGGGATGACTGACTCTAGTAATAGAAAAATATTCAGATCGTACGGTGATATCAGAGAAAACAGAACAAGAAGGGAAATTGTCACACACGGAACCACATCTACACAAGAACTAACAGCATCGGCAATTAAAATGCAAAATTCAATATTCCAGAAAAGAGATTGGGAAAGTGGAGGAAAGAACCCACGTAGATCCGAAAATCTAACAAGACGTAACTGACATCCCATTTCCGAATGACTCGCAGAAGAAAAAAAGCGAAGCCGTAAGTGTAATAAAAGAAAGTAGGAAAAGTATTGACTTACAAAGCAATCGTCGTCAATAGTGTAGACGTACTTCTTCTTAGACACCATGTAACCAAAGCAGCGACAAGCAGAGTCCTTGAAGGAAATGCAAGAGGCCTTAGGACCCAAGATCCGATTGATATCGTTGCGGTTGTAAAGTTCATAATCGAAACCTTCAGGGACCTTAATGGTCTTAGAAGGATCACCATCTTGCACAATTATGAGGTGGTAAGGCTGAAAGAAAGGCCTCCACATCTCCAAGAAATCAAGGTTCCTGATCGTCGGAATGACGATGTCGAGCTCATCTTTGAGAAGAGGAGTGGGACTGACCGCCGCTCCGTACATGGTGGGATGAATAATAGGGAGATCGGAGACGGCAGAATCAGAGAGAAGAAAGAGAAATGAAGCTCGGGTAGCTTTGGGTTGAGGACGAAGAGGAGGGGTTTTTGTATTTGAAAAATGGGTGCTAGACGCGTGGCACGTGCCGGACAGGCTCAGCGTGATCTCGGAATTATGCTTTCTTCACCTTTTTTTTTTTTTTTTAATTCATTCTGATTTTCTTTTGCCAAGTATGTCAATCATGTGAAGGTCCTCAACTTCCCCAAGGCGGACATCTTTCCTTTTCTCTTTTAAAAAAAATATATTCTTCTCATAGCATATATTTTATTACGTATTTATTTAGACGAGACGGATACACTTTTTTTTTTTGGCCAGAGTCCTCATCACTTGTCAATAATAAATAATTATACATATATTTAAAAGCAAGCTAAAGGGAAAAAAATTAAATCGTAAATATCTTTTATATATAATTTAGGAAAAATCAAACCTGAAAATTACTAACATCAAATGAGGATTGTTTCATACTTTTGCAATAAGTGTTGTTTACATTTAACTTGCAAATAACAGCACATTTTTTATAAGAATTACTTATTTAGAAATTAGTAATTATTAAATTTTTTTGTAGGGTTTTTCTTAGACCAAAATATATACTTGGTCTTTTAATTTTACACAAAATTTTAATTTAGTCTCTTAATGTTAAAAAGTATATTTTTTATCTTTTAATCCTAAAATTATTAAACTTAAATGATGATTTTTCGTAATAATTATAGTTGTTTTGAGAATTAAACTAAACATATTAACATTTAAGAGCTTTTTTATCAACATTAAATATCTTGATGTCATATTTTCTGTTAATAATTTTAAAATTAAATGTTTAAAAATATTATTTTTAAAATTAAAAGACTAAATTGAAATCATGTATTAAGTAAAAGGAACAATTGTATATTTTAGCTTTTTTTTTAATAATGTATTAGTGTGCATAGAATGTTGATCTGAACAATACGTGCATTAATTATTTAAAAGATAATGCATCCCATTAAAATTTAGATCTTTCTCATAACTCTTTAAGATCATGTTATTTATATTCAATAAAAAGTGAGGAAACAATTCTTGAATGCATAAAATCGACTTCAGGCCGACGGTCTTCTTTTTCGCCAAAAATAGTTTTTTAAAGAAAACCTACAATTGGCCAATGGTCCTATTATATAAAAGCCCCAGTATATTTCATAGAGTATATAACGTATTTTATGTAGAGTATTGATTTTTTCAATATAATATTTCTAACTAAGTATTAATTTTTTTTACTAGTTAATCAAACTAATAGTTGGTATTGAAAGTTGTTTTGTAACGGTGCCTGGTGATCATATTATTTGTGTGCAGTGATTCAGTAATTTAGGGAAAGTTCGGTGACTTGGATGATAAATGTGATAAAAGGGGTCGACACATGAACGTAGCAAATGAGAAAATGTGATTTGTAACGTTAAAGATAGAACACACATGGATTGTTTTGTTGCTCACATCTAATTTTCAATGCATCCTTTTTGAAGGGAAATAATTGTTTGAAATGGAACGTAAGGAAAAACAATGATAGCAATATTTTATAAGTATATACAAAATTTAAATTCTAAAAACTTTCTACACTACTTCCAGTTCTTAATATAAGATCTTGTTTGACTTTTATTTTGGTTCTAAATATAAAACCCAATCTATTTTGTCTCTCATATTTATACTTTTTTTCCTTCAAGATGCTCCTTCTAACAATGATAGTTCCAACCAATACACTTGATTAGCAAAGATATTTTAGGAAAGACAACACTTATTTATTACAAATAATTAACTTAATTTTTTCTTTAATTTTCTCAAATTAGTCAACTAGCTCTTATAATTAGGATATGAGATAGTATATGATTTAATGATAAAATTTGTTAACTTGAGAAAAAAATTACGCCCTTTAATACTACTCCTCTGGTCCTTAATATAAAACCCAATTGGTGAGTTGGTTTTGGTCCTAAATATAAAACCCATTTTTCATATTTATCAATTTTTTCTAAATTATCCCTATGGATACTCCCTCAACCATAATCAAGTAGAAGAGGAAAAAAATGTATTAAAAAAGATGATTATGGTATTTTAGGAAAAACATGTCACATTTTTTATAATTAACTAACTTACCTAACTTCCTTAATCTAATCAAATTAGTTAAATAGGTCTTATATTAAGGACCGGAGGAGGAGTATGTTTTTTCTTTACAGGAAATATAATATCTGTTTCTTTTTCTCTAACAAGATCTTAACGCTTCACACTTTTCATACATTAATATTCAATAATTAGAGGTGACCTTTTCAACCATAAAATCATATTTATATTTATTTTAGTTTTATTATAAATTTGTTTTGTCAGGTCAGGTATAAGTTCTTAAAGTATACTTTAGTTCTTCAATTTTACATAAAGTTTTATTTTCGTGCCTTGATTTTAAAAAGTAAGCTTTTAATCATCTAATCCTAAAACCATTGACAAAAAATGATGACATTGAGTTTTTAAATGTTGATAAAATATCATCACATGCTATAATATTAAGTTTAATTTTTAAAACAACCATAATTATTACAAAAAATTATCTTTTAAGACTAATAATTTTAAGATTAAAAGATAAAACTAAAAGTATATTTTTTAAAGTTAACAAATCAAACTAAAATTTTATATAAAATTAAAGAATTAAATGTATATTTTAACTGTTTTGAAATTATCTTTCTGACCCATTTTCTTACCCAACAATTTATGATGGGGATTGTTCCATGCCAAACAAAAATTACTACGTAGAACAAAACGATACAATTAATTTTCAGTTAAGGGGAATGTTTGACAAAAGCTTCGATAATCAAACGAGCTTGACTAATTGGCCATTGATCAAGGGAATTTTTGCATGGACTTCGAACTAAAATTCTAATTAATCAGTGGGATCTTGTCCTTGCAATTTGGCAGGACTTGAGAGTGACATCTAAAATTCTCACAGATTTAGCTATAAAGTAGGGTGCTTCCCTTCCCCAAGCAAAATACTTATTCGGTCCTTAATATATGACCCAATATTAAGTTGGTTTTGATCTTAAATATAAGACATATTTCTCATATTTATCAATTTTTTCTAAATTATCCCTTTGCATACTCCTTCAATCATAATCAAGTAGAAGAGAAAGATGGGGTATTAAGAAAGATGATCGTGGTATTTTAGAAAAAACATGTCATATTTTTTATAATTAACCTACTTACCTAACTTTTTTAATCTAATCAAATTAGTTAAATGAGTCTTATATTAAAAACCGAAAGAGTATTAAATATACAACTTATTTGGATTCATGATTAATAAGTATATTTATATAAGTCAAGATAAAAGTATTTCGCACATCACAATTAAAAAACATTTTATAAACTATTTATAAGTCATTTCAAATAAATGCTTATAAATTATTTAGTTTGTATAATTGAATTTCTTAAATTCACAGGATAAGAATGCTTCTTTCATTAGAAGGTTGATTATATTATAATTATTTAGGGGGTGTTTGGGAATGTTCAAAAATACTTCTAAGAAACATTTTTTTCGTAAAATGAGACAAACTCCTCTATATATTTATTTTGTAAATCGTAAAAGCACTTTTAAAAATCATGATTTAATTTCAATCCAAACACCCCTTAAACGAAGGATTACAAGAGATTTATATTTTTGAATTAAAACATAGACTTCAGAAGACGTGCTTGAATTTTTACTATTTCAAATTTTAAATTTTGATTTACTATTCAAAACTTATATATGCAATGTAGTAATGCAAAAGTTTACTGTTGTTTGAAAAAATAAAAACAAGCCTTCAGATTTTAAAACCGTAAAAAATGCTTTTAAAATCATAATTTTAATTCTATCAAGACATTTCTTAAATGGGACCAATAAAAGTCGGGTTTGAAGAAACCTTCAAATTTAAAATGGGATTGATATTTATAATTTGAATGAATTTTGGTTTTAGTGTTTTAAATCAGAATTTCTTATTCCTATAACTTATTCAATTCAAAATGTGAATCCTTATAATTTTATAAAGAATTTGGATATGAGTATAACAACGTTAATGACATTGTGAATGTAAAAATTAAAACAAAAATCCATTAAAAGTATAAATAAAAAATGTTCCAATTTGGCAATTTTTTTAGTTGGAATGACTCACACATGCAAAAGTTGCTTTTTTATTTATATTTTTAATATAAGTTTTGATTTTGGTTAATATATTTAATGTTAAACTTATATCCAAAATTTTATTTTTAAAAGAAAAAAATAGGAAAATCAAAAAATTAAAACTTGGATTATAAGAGTTAATAATAATAGTAATATAAACCTTTAAAAAATAAATAGCAGCTAATATTGAAAAATTTATTTAAATTAAATATTTGTAATAAATAGGTATTGTCTTTTTTAAAATATTTTCATTAATATATGTATTATAATGCAAACTCTTTAACACATCTAATCATTATATGAATTTTTTAAAAAAAAATAAATGAGAGAGAGACAAAATAAATTCGTTAGAGAAAGACCAAGTGATTTTTTTACACAAAAAAATAAATTAAAATTTTATAATTATAATAATATTAAAGTTTTAATTAACTTTTATATTTAGAATCAGAATTACTAAGCTTAGAATGTATTTTGAATGGAAATTAAATCATTATTTTAAAAATAATTTTATTATATACAAAATAAATATGTAGAGAAATTTATCTTAATTTATAAAAAATATTTTAAAAAAATAATTTTGGCAATGGCCAAACACCGCCTTAACCCTAAGGGGGCGGGCAGGCGAGTGTGGAAAAAAAAAACTTAAAAGTGGGCAGGAGAGAACAGGGACGTGATTGGCGGGAGTAGCAGAAAAAAAATGCATAAATATAAAAGACAAAATGGATTGGGATCTTATAATTAGGACCAAATAAAAAGTCAAATGGGGTCTTATAATAAGGACCGGAGAGTATAATCATACTTCATGTAAACAAAATCAATACAATAATAAACAAAAGATAAAATTATATA